CAACATGTTTGAATTGTAGGCTCGGCATAAAATGTCCACAAGGTGTTTGTTTAAATGTCCAAGTGAGTGTAAATGGTAATTGTGACCAATTATGCGAGTGAAGTCTGAGTAACCGTAGTTGAGTCACAATTTTTTTGGTTTGTGCTAATGTTCTTCATCTTCCAAGTACTATGGCTCCATCCAGGAAACGCCGCACCACAGGTGCTTCTTCCAACGGTCAAGCTGGATCGTCCAGGGCGCGCAGGTCAGCACCTGCTCGTCCCTTTGATAGTAGCAGGTTTGTCTCTGCCAAGGCTCAGGACCGCTTTGCGGAGAAGGCCCCTAAGAAACCCATTCCGGAAAGGGGCATAGATATAGGGTCGCTCCAGCTGGGCTGCCCTAACTTGTATCATGAGCTGGTCCGGCGGGGGCTGCAAATCTTCTTTGAAGAGTTGGACGAGGGGAATTTGATGGTTGTCCGTGAATTCTAAGCCAACATAAAAGAACATGTGAATGGCGTAGTGACTGTGCGCAGAAAGCCTGTGGATGCCTCTGTGGAGACTATTTGGAGGATATACCAGCTGCCCGTACCGGTGGATGAGTATGAAGACTATTATGAAATATGTGGGAGGAAATACACCCAGTGGGAGATGTTCTTTGAAACCATTTGTGTACCCGGTAAGGAAATTGTATGGATGAAGTATGGGAAGAAGTTTCGTTCCTCGACGCTCACTTTCGAAGGGAAATGCTGGTTGTATGTCATCAACAACCGCATGATCCCATCTTCCAATACCACGGAGGTGAATGCTCCTCGAGCTGCTCTTATTTGGTTCTTTGTAAATGGTCACAACTTTGACGTGGCCAAGCTGATTCATGAGGAGATGTTCACCCATTGTCCAGTGAAAAGGTACGGGTTCTTCTTCCCTTCCTTAGTTACTAGACTGTGCCAGGCTGCTCGGGTGCTGGAAAATCTGAATGTGGATGGGATAGTGCCAAAAGACTCCAAGTTTCGAGTTGATAAGGTAACCACTAGGAAGGAACTGGTGGCAGCGGGTGGTGATGATAGTGGTGAATCTGATGACTCTGAGGAAGCGGAGGTTGAGTAGGAGGATGTGAGGGCCGAGTCACCAGCCCATGAGCAAATTGCAGAGGCTGACGCACCATCTGGGGCTGCTCGGGTTACCCGATTCACAGCTTTGGAGTGGAAGGTGGCCAGATTGCGTACCTCGGTCGCTGACTTAGGTACACGTGTTGACGCGATGGCTGCCCAGCAGGTGTAATCGGAGAAGAAAGTCTTGGGCTGGCTGAGAGCTCTGGGTCATGCTTGCAATCTAAACCCAGACACGGTCTCCGATCAGGAGTGATCACTCAGGGAAGTTCCTTCACCTCACTGTTCTTTATTTTGTATGCCATGAGGACATGTCTTCTTTTTAAGTGTGGGGTGGGGATACTTTAATGTATGTGTGTATATGTAACAACTTGACTGTTTATGTTTTCTTTGTTTTTCTTGATTGTTTTGGTGGTTTTGAGTAATAGTCAAATTAGGTAAGTTGACTTGTCCCGACGACGGATCTCTTTCGACGGGGTTCTTGAGGGTCTAAGTCGACGTGAAAAAAAATAGAAATATGTTGGACTCTTGGTTTTTCTTTGGGCCACGGTTCTTTTTCAAGGGTTTTTCTTGAAGCGGGTGTAGTTAGCTTTTGTTTATTTTATTTCTAGTTTTTAGTTAGTACTGATGGGCTAGGAGCTGAAATAGAAAGAGAAGCCCTTGGCGTTGATACACCTGAACATAATAGGTACTAGGGTGTGACACTTAGTCTCAATGGTTGATTCTTGTTAGAGTGCCTTAAATTGTATGTTTGTAACTGATTTGAGTGCTCAAATGAGAGTGTCTTGATAAGCTGATCTGGAGTGAGTCATGTGCCATGTGTGTGTGAGTTGTTTTGTATTCTATGCTCTGCATTTGATGCCTAGAACTTGCCCTGTGTGTTTGCAAAGTGAAATAGTAGCTTTATTCAGTCTTAGAAGTGATATAGGCATTTCTTTGTTAAGCCAGATATATAAAGTAGACCCACCTAAATGTGATAAATCGTAGTTAACCCCGTTGAGCCTATAAGCCTGTTTCTTTGGCAACCACATTACAAACCTTACCCAATTGTTTGAACGGCCTATGTGTTTGAACCCCTTTACGTCCCATGAGCACTTGAATGGTTATGAAATATGCAAAAGTTAAAGTGTGGGGTGGTGGTTTAGTTTTTTTAGTGAAACCAATGAAATAGAGAAAAGGTGCAGTATTTTGAAATATAAAAGATAAGCGCCACTGAAAAAAGAAGAAAAAAAAGAAAAAAAAAAGAATAAGTAAGTGTAGTACTTGATAACTGGTGGCTTGATACAATTACACCTAATGGAGTTTGGGGTATTATAAATAGAAGTGTGGTGGAATGGCTGGTTTGACATAAGTATGGTGTCGGAATGCGAATGGTATTGTGTTAAAAGTGCTTAGGGAGGTTAGTCACTATATCCAAACATATCATACCCGTCCCTTAGCCTACATTACAACCAAATGAAGACCTACTTGATCTTAGACTGAATGGGCTCGATTAGTAGAGTAGTACACTACGGGCAAGCCTATGGTGCATCTGTGTGGCATATGAATTTTCTTTCTGAGAGTGAGCTAATTTTGTCTATCTAAGTTCCTAATTGTTCTTAATATTATTATTTGTGGAACTACTCTCTTGTGTGATGTGAGGGCATGTGATTCACGAAGGAAAGGTAAGTCTTGACCTCCGTATAGAGTAATTTGAGTAAGTATGAATATTGCACGGCACGCGAGAGTCGACTCTTGAGGTTAAGATTGTACACTACTAGACATAACTTTGGTGAATTATTCTTGATGTGATACGTTAAGGGGAAAGCTTAGTGAAGGAACCTTTATAGAGTATAGTGGATTGCTCGAGGACTAGCAATGATTTAAGTGTGGGGTGTTGATAAAGGCAAGATTTATGTAGTTTGGCGACTATTTATGCCCCGACTTGACTATGCTTCACTGTTCTAGGATAGTCAAATGACGATAAATTGGCTCTAATTGTGAGTTTCATATTTTGCAGGAGCGAGTTGCGCTTATGAGAACTTAGGACAATGTTTGGAGCTAAATTAAAGCAAGGGAAGCCCCTCGGAGCTGAGTACGTGTGAAAGAAGAGAGAAAAGAAGAGATAAAATGTTGACCCAGCTTAGCGCGACCATAGCGCGAACACGCTAGTTCAAAACCTCGAGGCAGAATACTATGCTATATGCGCAGGCACGAGCGCAGCCGCGCTAGTCCAGTTCGGAGCAAATAATTTCAGGGGTAAACTTGGAAGTTCGAGGGAGATTCTACTTAACCTATATGAGGTCCAGCTCGTCCAAGGAGACATTATCAAGGTTTTTACAATTGAGTTGAAGGCAAGAAGAGGCAAGAGGCAAGGAGGAAAATTCGACATCGAGTTCTACCTTTCTTCCTTTTGTATTTATCATTTAAGATGAATTTTGATGCTATGATGAACACGTTTATGAGTAGCTAATTACTTTGTCTAGTGTTTTGATGGAACCTGTTGAAGGATGAACTTCGTGTTATACTAATATAGTTTGCCCAGTTTAATCTCTATTTGTTCAACTACGTTCTTGTTGTAGTTAATTGATAGGATCCTCAATTAGCTGTGCCTATTTAGTATGTATTATTCGGGAGAGTATGCATATTTAGGTAATTGTTGAACAATGCCACTCCCAAAGTATATGAGGGATCAATAACTGAGGGTTTAAAGGCGGGATTAGGTATAACGAAGCCTTGGGTGTGATCTGAAGTGAGCTGTAATAAAAGCCAGCTAGCGTAATTCGGGAGAGTGCGTCTAGTAAATTGTCATAATTACTCGGCAGAGATTTATGATAGTAAGAGTACTCATGATCGATAGAGGTGATTATGTAAATCTATATGACACATAACAGGAAGGGATTCCATCAATAAGGGAAATCACAACCTTAGATCCTTCTCTTAATTATTTACAACTCAATCATAGTTAGTTTTTAGTTTACTTAATTTCGTTCAGTTATAGTTAGTAAAAATATCGCCAATTGTTATTTAAAATTTTTAGGAAGTTGATTACGAGGAATTTAGTGAGTCTAACAAGAGTAATTGGTAGGTTAATGCCCTGTGGATTCGACTCTGGGCTAAATACTCAGACTATATTTGCAATGATCGCTTGTCCTTTTTATAAGGCATAGTTGGGCGTGATCAAAGGGCTACACCTTTATATTTACGAATCAAAATATTAGTGGATAAAGGGCTGCACATTTATACTTTTCCATTTAAATATCCGATTACAAGAAAAATTGAACTACCAACAAAAAAATCAGTTGGTAAATAGATCAAATCAGTTGATAAATTGGGTTACCAACGGTTTTAAATTTGTCGCTAAAAGGCTAGTCGGTAATATTTACCAGCCGATTTGAATTTCTAAGTAAAATTACCAATGATAATTCGATTGGTAAATAGCAAAAAAATCCCATAAGTAACTTGTTTGAGCAGATGGAAAAAATTTCGTTGGTAAAATCACCAAATTTTATTCGGCTGCCAGTCAGTTGGTAAATTTGATAATGAATATAAAAATTTGTTGGAATAAGGATTTCAACTTTCCTAGATGATAATGGTGATTTGCAAAAGAGAAAGTCGGCTAAAGACGACAAGGTTCAGAGACAATGAACAAGGTTTTTCGGAAGGTTGTGTCTGAACAAGGCTCCAATATAATGGTCTAAGTCGGGTAATTGATATTGGGCCTATAATGAAGTGGACTGCATTTGTATCTACACTTTGGGCCCAAACTTTCACTTGGCCTTTCTGGATACTACTAGAAGATTCTTTACAGATTTAATTATAAATAGAGTTTTTCTTATTCTCGTATTTATCTTATTCTTTTACCAATAGCATAGGGACATGTGTCGTAGGTGGTTACATAGATTCCTTTTTAGTTTCATAAAGACACGGGCTGTACAGAGAATAATTCATTCAATAGACAGAAAATTTTCTCAATTGTTCTTTAACATCATGCTTCCCGATATGATATTAGAGCTTTAACGTTTAATCCTTTGGCTTCATTTTTTTTAGGCTTCTTCTTCATCTGCTTCATTATTCACCATGGGAGATACAGTTGAAGATGCTTCTGCTTCTGTAACTCTTACTCCTCAGGTGACATAGGTTGTTGATTCTTCAGCAGCAACAGTCATGCTCGATTCATCTCACCCCTTCTATCTCCACCTATCAGACTCTCCTAGGATGGTGCTTGTCAGCTCGATTTTTGATGGAAAGGGATATGGTGGGTGGCGTAGGGGTATTGTCATTGCCTTGTCAGCTAAAAACAAACTTGGATTTATTGATGGTTCCTTTCTTCAACCCAAAATCTCGTCTGATTCTTTTAAACCATGGACAAGGTGCAATGACATGGTCATTTCTTTGGTTTTGAACTCTCTCTCTCTAAGGAAATATTAGAAAGTGTTCTTTATTCCAAAACTGCAAGGGACATTTTGACTGAATTTGAGGAGCGATTTGGGTAGACCAATGGTCCCCAGCTCTAACAACTGCAAAGGAAATCATAGAATTAGCACAAGCAAATCTGGACATTGGTGGGTACTATACCAATTGAAACGACTTTGGGATGAGTTAGACAACTTGGACGTTACACATCATTGTACCTGTGATTCTTCATGTGGAGGAAAGAAGAGACACTGCAAGTCTCAACAAAATGGGAGACTTATCTAATTTCTCATGGGGCTCAATGATGCCTATGCCACTGCTAGAAGCAGCCTACTCATGCTGTCTCCATACCCTCAGGCAATCATGCTTATTCCCTATTGATCAAGGATGGGAAATAAAGGCAAGTGTAGATCTCTCAACATGTTCCTTCTCAGAGTGCTTATGTTGCATCTCAACAGCCTTATGGAGTTGGTCGCAAATACTCACCTGATAAGAAGCCAAACACAGAAGCAAAGAAGGGTAATTAATTTTGTGCTTATTACAAGAAACAAAATCACAGCATAGAGAACTGTTATAGGCTGATTGGGTTTTCCAGCTGATTTCAAATTCAACAAGAACAAGAAGTTTACTGGACCTATAAGCAATGCAACTGTCTATGTTAAGGAATCAGGATCCCAATCTGTCATCACAGAAGCATAACCAATGACCCAAGATCAATTTCGCAGTCTATACCAGCTGCTTCAGATTGTCAAGCTTGGTACTCAGACATATCAGCCTCCTGATGACATAATTTTTGCAAATTGTGCTGGTATCTCCTTTTCTTCTCCTTCTTCTAAAACCTATATTAGTGTTTTTTTAAACTCAATTTCCTGGATCCTAGATTCAGGAGCTTCAGAACACATGACTTTCAATTTAGCTCTCCTATTTAATGTGCAGCTTCTTCCAAAACCTGTATATGTCACATTACCTAACTCTGCCAAAGTGTTGGCATTTAACTCAGGATGTGTTACTATTCTTCATGGTTTTACTCCTAGCCATGTCTTGTTTGTTCCTAGCTTCAACTATAACTTATTATCACTGCACAAATTGTGTGTACAATTCCAATCCATCCTAATTTTTTCTTCTTTTGGTGCTACTTTGAAACTAAAGAGGCCAGTGGTGCTTAAATAAAGTCACTCGAGGGATCTATATTTTCAACTCTGCTCTTCCAAGTTAAGTCAAGTCTAGAGTAGTTATTTCCAGCTTAATCAAGGCTATTAGTCTTTCTATTTGTAATCAAAGTGTTGTTGCACTAATTTCTTCTTCTATTTTGTGTTTAGGGGTTGTTTCTTCTAATGTAAGACTTTGGCACCATAGACTGGGCCATGCCATTTTCTAATATGAAATGTATTCTCTTTACCGTCTACAGATTTATCCATTTATCCTTGTGATGTTTGTGCAAAAGCTGGACAGGCAAAACTATCTTTTCTCTAAGCATATATTTGATCTTATAAATATAAACACATAGAGACCTTACAAAACTCAAGCTTATGATGGGTATAGATACTTTCTCACCATTGTTGATGATTATAGTAGAGGTACATGGACTTTCCTTCTCGGCACTAAATCCAATGCCTTCCCAGTTCTCAAACAGTTTTTAGCCATGACTGAAAGACAATGTAACACCGAGGAAAAAGTGATCTAATCAGATCATGCCCTTGAGTTGGGTAGCAGTCACACTACATCTCAGTTTTTTGCCTCCCAGGGCATCATCCATCAGACCACATGTGTCTCCTCTCCTTAACAAAAGGGTGTTATTGAGAGGAAACATAAGCATCTTCTTGAAACATGTAGAGCCTTATTATTTCAGTCTAATTTGCCTATTCAATATTGGGGAGATTATTTATTAACAGCCACTTTTTTAATCAATAGATTTCCATCCAAAGTCATTAAATGAAGACCCCTTATGAGCTTTTGTTTGGTCAGGCTCCTAATTATGTCAATCTTAGGGAATTTGGTTTCTTATGTTATGATTTTACTTTGACTTTTCACATATTTAAAAGGGATCCTACGTCTCATAAATGTATATTTCTGGGGTACCCTTTTAGGAAGAAGGGGTACAAATTGCTCAATCTACACACCCTCAAAGTTTTTGTTTCGAGGGATGTTGTCTTTCATGAAATTATATTCCCTTTTGTCTCATCTGTTGGCTCTTCCTCCATTTTTCCTACTGATCACCCTACCCCTTCTATTTATCATTCCATTCCTCCCAGCTCACTGCCTAACACCTTTGCCTCTACTCCAAAATCTACTAAGACTACCTCGCTTGTCATCTCCACTTCGCCCTCTACTCTTCACTCCTCACCTTCCAGCTTTTCTCCTACACATCTTACACCTACCAGTTCTTCCCCTCATTCACTTTCTCATTCCATGTCTCTCTCTTCTAGTCCTATTTCGCATACTATCACCCCAACTCTTAAAAGATCCACTAGAGAACACAATATGCCTAGTTATTTGAATGACTACATTTGTAATTCAGTCTCGCTAACCAATCTGACCCCCTCTTGATTTGACCTCCCTGTTTCCCTTCTTGTTTTTTCATTTTCTGCATTGTCTTCTTCTAATCAGTCTCTCCTCAAGTCTATTTATTACATCTCTGAATCTACTTCCTATCCCCAAGCCTCTCTTCACCTTGGGTGGCAAGAGGCCATGAACAAGGAATTTGCTGCACTTGAAGATAACAAAACCTGGGAGGTGGTTCTATTGCCCAAGGACAGAAAAGCCCTACCTTTCAAATGGGTCTATAAGGTCAAATACATGCAAGATGCTTCAGTTGAAATGTTTAAGGCTCGTTTGGTTATAAGGGGTGATATTCAAAGGGAAAGGATTGATTTTACTGAAACTTATTCTCCTATAGTCAAAATGACTATCGTAAGGTGTTTATTGGTAGTAACTGTTAAAAAGAACTGGGACATCTCACAGTTAGATGTGAACAATGCCTTCCTTTATGGTGATTTATAGGAGGAAGTTTATATTGTTCCAAGTTGGTATTTCTCCTCCTACTCCTAATTATATCTGTAAGCTCAAAATGTCATTATATGGGTTGCGGCAAGCCTCACGGTAATGGTATGCCCGTCTCACTGCCGCACTCAATTTTAAGGGATATTCACATTCCCTTAATGACTAATCTTTGTTTTCTGAAAAATCAGAAGGTCGCATCACTATCCTTGTTGTCTATGTCGATGATATTCTCCTAACAGGTGATGATCCAGTTGAGCTTGGAGCTCCTAAGAATTTTCTTGACTATGAATTTAAAATCAAAGACTTGGAGCAAGCACATTATTTTTTAGGTCTAGAAATCATTAGAGAACCACAAGGGATTATTTTGAGTCAGAGAAAGTTTACCTTGGATCTCTTATCAGAGTTTGGTTGCTTGGATCTTCAACCTGTCTCCTCTCCTCTTGACCCTACTTCTCATCTTTGCATCAATGAAGGTGAACCTTTGCAGGATGCCACCATCAATTATCTTACCCACACTCGCCCTGATTTATCTTTTTTTGTTCAACACCTCAGCCAACTCATGCAGTCCCCTCGCCTTCCTCACTTTGATGTTGAGCTTCGTTGTCTCCATTATTTACTCATTGATCCTGGGTTAGGCATTTTTCTGTCTTCCACTTCCTCATTCAATCTCCTTGTTTTTTGTGGTTCTGATTGAGGTCGTTGCCCTGTTACTCGCCGGTTGATTAGTGGGTATTTCATAACTTTAGGTTCTTCTCCTATGTCTTGGAAATCCAAGAAACATGCTTTAGTCTCTTTATCTTCTGCAGAGGCGGAATATCGATCCATGCGATGGGTTGTCGCTGAGATCACCTGGTTGTTGCGTTCACTTAAAGATCTCTCTCTCTCTCTCACTCCTTCTCTTCCAGTTTCCCTCCATTCCGATAGCCAAACCGCCATCCACATTGCCAAAAATCCGGTTTTTCATAAACACACCAAATATGTCGACCTCGATTGTCATTTTTTGAGATAGCAATACCTTGTTGGGCTCATTTCCCTCTCTTCCGTCCCTTCAATTTCCCAAATCGCCGACGTCCTTACAAAACTCCTTTTTGGTCCTACACACCATATAATTTTGGGCAAGTTAGGGTTTTTTTTCTCCTCCTTCCAACTTGAGGGGGGATGTTGGAACAAGGATTTCGACTTTCTGAGATGATAGTAATGATTTGTAGAAGAGAAAGTCGGCTAAAGACGACAAGGTTCAGAGACAATGAACAAGGTTTTTCGGAGTCATCGAGCTTGTTTCTGAACAAGGCTCCAATATATATAATGGTCTAAGTCGGATAATTGATATTGGGCCTATAATGAAGTGGACTGCATTTGGACTTGCACTTTGGGCCGAGATTTTCACTGGGCCTTTCTGGATACTGGAAGATTCTTGGGGACTTTACATAATGTCACAGTTTAAAAGAAATATAACAAATTTTTAGCATTAAATTCAATATTACAGATATGGTAGGAAAATATTTATATTTGTAGCACACAGTTCCATTAAAATAGAAATATTAACTATTAATCCCTAAACATAAGAAATTTGAATGGAAAGCTAATAATTATTTGTACAAAAATCATGTCTTTTTCTCTCTCTTTATCTATTAGCTTTCCTTCTTTTTCTTCATCTTCTTAGTTTTGTTTTCTACCGAAGCCAATATATTTTTTAAATTTGTTCCATTCATTTTATTTTTAGTTATCTTTCTTAAGTTTTTCTCTTACTTCTTTCTTCCTTTCTTAATATAAAGCTCTTATTTCGATAATAATATACGTTAATATATACAATACATATATATAAAAATATACTTTGAATTAACACATATAAAATATACAAAACAAATACATAAAAAATACATCTTCAATTAAGATGACACTTAGACATGTGAAATATACATAAAAATATATATCTTAAATTTAATTAAGATGGTATATAAATATACAAAAAATAATATATATATATATATATTGACACTTGACATATAAAATATAATATACATTAAAAATACCGCTTAAAATAAGATAGCACTTCACAAATAAATATACAAAAAATATATACATAAATATACATTTTGAATTAAAGTGATACCTGATATACAGAGTATAAAAGATGTATAAATCAATACATCTTGATTTAGGTGGCATTGAGATATGCAGCAGCTTTTCAAAATATGGAGTGAAGAAGATGAATGCTGTAAAGGGAAAATGAAGATGGACAAAAAAAAAAGTACTTCCCGTGATTAGTGAGTGAGTTAACTTATTAGATGTTGAGCTTAATTTTTATAATGTGCCATTAATGAAAAAAAAGTGCTCTTTATGGAATAAACAATAAATGGTGCTATTTTTATAAATAATAGTTAAAAAAGGATCAAGCATGTAAAAAACTCAAGATTCTTTACTGATTTAATTGTAAATACAGTTTTTGTTATTCTTGTATTTATCTCATAGTTAGTTATTCTTTTACCAATAGTATAGGGACATGTGTCATAGGTGGTTATACATAGATTACTTTCTAGTTGTATAAAGACACGGACTGTACAGAGAATAATTCATTCAATACACAAAAAATTTCTCAATTGTTCTTTTACATCATGCTTTCCAATAAAATTTGTTGGTAAAATTTATATTTAGTAACCGATGTAATTTCATAGTAGTAATTTTTATTTCAAACACATTCGAAATTTCTTGATATAATTTGTGCCCCAGCCTTTAAAAAGAATGAGCTTTGCACCACAACCAACCCCAAATACCCCTTCATATTAGGACCATACTGTGGTGTGCGTGAAAATCTAAGAGCAAGTTTGGCTAAGCTTCTAAAATTAATTTATTTGAAAAGTATTTTTTTTAAAAGTATCTTTGAAGTACACGACCCAAAAAAAAGGTATCTTCTAAGTAATACATTAATTAAATAAATGCATTTTAAATACATGTAAAACTTAAATACTCTGATATATAATTAAGATAGACCACTTAAAGTTTAGTTTTTACTTAGCAGTTAGCACAAATCTATCCATCTGCGTAGAGTTTTACATTTCCAGTTTATAGAGAAGACAACAACAACAACAACTATCCAGTATAGTCTCACAAGGTGGGGTCTGGGGAGGGTAATATCCAGTTTATAAAGAAGTCAAATTCTATAAATTCAGAAAGTAAATTATCCTAAAAATATCTTTTATTAATGTTAATTTTACATTGAAAATGGTCCTGATTAACATTCTTGATTTTCAATAACTTGGATGAAAGAATTGCGTGATAAGTTTTTCTGACTTTGAAAAGTAAAAGTAAATGGTTAACAATAATTTTTTATAATGTCATTGTTTTCATTATATATATATATATATATATATATATATATGTGTGTGTGTGTGTGTGTGTGTGTGTGTGTGTGTGTGTGTTATTTCAATGTAATTTAATCTCTAGTTTAGTTTGTGGTTAAAATAGCACGGGCTAGCCAATTTTCGGACTGGTCATTCAAAAATAGCCAACGTTTGCAAAGTCATTGAAAAATAACCACTATTTTGCTGCAACAGTGACCGGTCCAGCATAATATACTGAAGATCGGTGCACCAGTGTATGAACTTCCAGCATATTATGCTGGAACTCCAACACGCGAAAAGTTCCAGCATAATATACTGGAGATTGGAGCACTTGTGTATGAACTTTCGGCATATTATACTGGATCGGTATATTATACTGGAACTCCAGTATATTATGTTGGAGTTCCAGTATACTTATGCTGGAACTCCATTATAATATGCTGGAGTTCCAGTATACTTATGCTGGAACTCCATTATAATATAGTGGAGTTCCAGTATACTTATGCTGGAACTCCAGTATATTATGCTGGAGTATTTTCCGGATTTTGAACAGTATTTTCGTTCAGATTTATCTTTACATGAAAAGTGGCTAAATTTCGATTAATTTTGAAATCGTGACTATTTTTGAATGACCACTTGTAAATCTGGCTATTTTTTAATTTCTCCCTATTTTGTGAGTTTACACTTAACTTACCGTACATGGGTGGAAAGCACTCACGAGGAGTCTATGTGCACCAATTTGATGAATTCAATATGTTGAGTAGATAAATTTAATTAATCACTAGAATGTTTAAATTTGACCTATTATTGGAGGATGTTTTGGAATTTTTAGATTTTACTTTTTGAAACTAAGTAATGTTGCATACTAATTACGATTATTAATATTTCTTTTAAAAAAATTTATAAGAACTTTAGAGTTTTAATTTTTTTGTTAAAATAAATCTAGTTTAAGCGTTTAAAAAATTGGAACTCCTATTTTTAGAATTTGGAGCTACATGAATCCTTTAACTGTAGGCAAAAATTACTTTCTAACTTTCCAAAAAAAAAATAATTATTTAATTTAAAATATTAATTGTTCTAAAAATTAAAAATTGAAGTTTTCGCATTTGCCATGAATTATTAATTTCAATGGTTATTTAGCAAGGGATTCGAAATAAATTGGCAAAGTTTACAAAAGGAACAAAAATCAGTTGGAAATATTCAACCGATTCGTTGGTAAAATCCGTCGGCCATCCGTTAATAATTTGTTACTAAATAAGGCGCCACTTTTTCCCGCAATATTTACCAACCGAAATTATTTGTTAGTAGATAATTCGTTAGTAATATATTGATAAAATGTCGCTAAATTACGCGCCAAATTCCCCCCCGCAATATGTACGAACTGAATTTATCAGTTTTAAAATTTGATAAGTAATCTGTTGGTAATCGGTTGTTAAATTTATGGAAAAAAATCGGTTGGTAATTTGTTAGCAATTTGTTACTAGTATTTACCAATGTATTTGGATGGTTAGTAAAATTCGTTTGTAATTTGAGTTTTTTGTTGTAGTAGACATGCGCCTAATGCAAATATCACGCACTGTAATCTTACAACCAAAACCTGGGCCCATCAAATGCGTGATTTTTGACGAGTAGGTACATATAGTATTGTTAATAGTTTATTCGAATTCATGACATACATTTACGAGATAGTGTATAAGTTTTTTCTTGACTTTAAACTCTTTAATTTACTTGATAGAAAGAGAGGACCTCTCATGAGTGATTTGCTTACACTAGTTGGCATTAGATTCTTGAAAGAACTAATATGAAAAAGACCAATCCCACGAGCATTTCACAATTATATTGGAGTTTATGCAAATGGACAAGCATGACAAGAGAACTTTCTAATGAAGATCCATTAACTCATACGGAGCTGTTAGATTTGTGACAGCTTTAGCCTATAGATAAATTAAGATGCAAAGGTCAATGTCACCTACAGCTGAATAAGTAATATTGTGCTCAATTGATAGTCTTTTGCATTATAAGTTGACTAATTTTGCATTGATTGTCAACATACTTGTATTGGGTGATACCCTTTTTTGCTTGAGCCCGACCGGGTTGGGTCCGGTCCGGGGCAAGTCGGGGCCATCGAACCCGACCTGGATGCAAGGTAGAACGACGGCCACGTCTACAACCAAGGTCGAGTCATTTCGAGACCGTTGCAGAGCTCGATATGAGTCACCACCGGATGGAGAAACACACAAGGTCGGAAGCCGGACTCGTAACGGATAACCAAGCGTCGCCGGATATCTCGCCCAAACGTGATTTTCTCAACCACTTCAGGCCATTAAGGCGTAATTACAGGGATCCACGATGTAATTAATTTACCTACCTTATTTTTACCCTTAATCAGAATGTATAAAAGGGGAGAAGACCCCATAAAGAGGGGATCGGAAACCATTACACTACAGTACCATCTCTCTCAATTCTTGTACGCTATCAAGCACAATTGTTCTAAGCAATATTATATTCTGCGATTATTTATTTTAACAGCAATTGTTGAGTCTTTATCTTTTATTTTCCTCAACCGAAACCTTTTGTATCTTTTAGTTCACGGATCCTTAAAACCCCATATAAATTCAATTGTTATCCGGATTCTAGGGTAAACAATACTACAACTACATCTCCTCCTTTATCACTGGCAATGTGAGCAAGCTCATACATACGGAGTTGTTTATTGGAATAAGACAAACTTAGATGGTGCAACATGGACAATAAAGATTCATATACCCGACCACAATTCGCTTGAGATTATGGTATAGTTGTGTTGTTGACGCAGCAAACCTGCAGATTTTAAAGCATTGCAGTGAGAGTGCAAAGATGATAGCAATGCTCCAACTTCAAACCAACATAAGGATCAAATTTAGGTGATGGAGCTTCTGCAGTAAAAAGATGCAACTTTATTGAACATTCATGATAAGGGATTAAGGGTCTAATTTGTCGTTTGAACTATTTGTCCCTTCACTGAAGAAAGAGAGAACATTCTTGTCAACATAATTCCAATCAAAAAATGAAACTTAGAATTGATCAATCAAGGAATATGACAACTAGTGTCCGTTAAAGTTAACAACATCCAATCAACAAAAAAGAAGAGCAACGAGTCTATTTTAAGCAAGCGGACCAATGGTTGGAGAACAATTCATTATACAAATCTGAAAAGTGACACACAGTATCCTGCCCAAAAGTATTGTAATCATCTAACAGAAATGCAGTATTGTAATCATCTAGCAGAAATGCCATCTCATGGGATACACCTGAAAGGGGAGCAGCAAATAATCGTGTAAGATTGCTTTTTAAAACTTCTGATCACATGCTCTAAGATTCTTTGTGCTAACATTCATGGCCAGTTCATAAAGGACTGGTAAAGAATTTCTCTCCAGCTCAAACATCCAAATCTAAGGAAAATAAACATAGTACCTTGGAGAAAAATATACCAAAATTACCCAAATGCATAACACCAACATCCACAACTTGGAACAGAAGAAAATTTCAGATCAAACAAATTAGAGGGAAAAGAGAGAATTACTGAACAGAACAATGAATTCAGAATAAATTTTGCTTCCTATCTATGAAGCTGAAAATAAAGTACAATGTTATTCTTGCATACAAACTCTACTCAGTAAAGAAAAAGTACAAGAGACTAAGCTGCAGAAAGCGGTATTGGCTTCACAGCACTTCTAATTCTCCGGTATGCAGTCCTAACTCTCTCCTTGAGACCTTCATTTTCACATTCAACATCACCAGTTTGTTTATCAAGATTAGCCACATTCCCATCAACATTTATTACCAGCTTACCGTCGTTCCCAAATTTCACGTCACCAAACAGAGAAACAAGGAGTGCGTGGACTATTTTCTCAGCTTTCTTGGCATCTTCCTCCTCGTTCATCAAAGTTTCCGACTCAACTGATACTTTAGGCATCTCCCTGCAGGCATTCAAAACCAATGCCACGATGGAGTCAGATACCATGTCACTAATTGGATCCGCTGTCCAATGAAGGGAGAGATGATTCTCTGACTCCTGCTTCACCGTCACTCGCTCATGCACTCGCAAACTTGGAACACCAGATTCCTCATCTGTTGAGGACTCTACACTTTCATAGATTTGCTTAAGCCTGTGTTGTATAACGGCAAAAGCACCTGAATATGGGATAGTAATTCTCTGTGTGACATTTGCAGTGGATAGCTGAGAAAAGACATGGAGATCATCAGGTGCCATGATCTGGTAAGTGAAACCTTTCTTTACAAGTAAACCACTGACGATTTCACCCACTTCAGGGGTCTTTTCAGCCAGCCTTCCAACAGTTTTAGCCATTTTCTCAGAGTTGAAGTGCATTTCAACTGATTGGCAGTTCTTGGGCGTAATTATTTTAGTATTGCCATCAGCAAAGAGAGAGGTAAGTTTCTGCTTGAGCCTTCCCATCTCATTAGCCTCTCCATGGACTAGAATTATGTTAGGAGGCATAAGTTCTTTCAAGAAGGTACTTGTCTGAGCATAATCCGCGTGAGCTGAGAATGAAATATAATGAACCTGCATATTAAGTGGAGCACTCAAGCCATTTTGTAAGGTGACTTCCTTCGGTTCATTGATGATAGTCTTCGCCAAGGTCCCTTCCACCATATACCCAGGTATAACACAAGCATTTTTCTTGTCAGAGCACCATTTATCGAACAGCTGCCTTGACAAACCACTTTGAAGACTACCTGGGCTTGCCATCACCACACATGGTTTGTTGTCTGTAAAATCCTCAATACTGTTCAGGGAAGAAATATGTTTGAAATCGAATGGATTTGAGCTGGCAAACTGATTGCGGATCCTTTCATTCATGGCATTGATGTAAGTCTGATAGACAGCCATACACTTTCTTGCAAGTGGAGAAGCATAATATATGGGGAAATTAGCAAGTTCAGGATGGTTAGACCAATATTCCTCCAGGATAAGGAGAAGTTCCTGTGCACGTCCCAAGGCGAAAGCAGGAATCAGCACCCGACCACCTTGCATGAGTGTTGAGTGTATCACATCAGTGAAAAGCTTCTCTCTTATCTGACGTGGCATATGGAGTTGAACACCATAAGTTGATTCTATAATGCAAATATCTGGAGAAAATTCCGGGGTCTCAGCAGCACAGAGATGCCTGTCTTCTTCACGGGAGTAGTCTCCTGTATAGAGAACTCGAACACCAGCAATATCAACCATAAACATGGCAGCACCAAGGACATGACCTGCAGTATAACACCAAAAGCTAATGCCATTTACTTCCATAGTCTGATGGAAGTCGACAACCTGCAGAACAAGTTTTCACATGTCAAATAACCCTAGCCATATATGTTTGCTAAATCTTTTTTAGAAAAAAGAGAAAAGGCATAAATTGCCCACTAAACTTGTCCAAAAAAGTCATTTACACACCTACACTTTACGGGTGATCTAATACCCCACTATTCTAATTTGAAGTGAATTTATTTGTCCCCTAAAATATTACAACCAGATCCAGTCCGAACTGTGTTTTACACGCGCTGGCAGGTTGCTTTTGTCACATTTGTTTTCCATTTTTCTTCTTTTTCAATAGAGCACCTCCCCCAACCAAAAAAAATTCACCCCATCATTTCCTTCACTTCTTCCTTCCATCATCTTTTTCTCCCTTTCTACACTAAACATCACAGACCTACGACCTCTCTCCTGCGAAATCTTCTTCCTTGGATGACAAGCGAGAGTAGGAACAGTTCACAAGAATGAAAAGAGGAAAAAAAAACACTAGACAGAGAGAAAACAAAAATCAGAGCATTCAATAAAAAATTTCTAGCAAGTTCAAATTAAATTCCGGTTAAGTTTGAGAGAAAATTTTCAAGCTATTGACTTTATCAGTCGTATGGGTTTTTTTTTGGAGATGGGTGGTCCAAGAGCTTAGTCCATATTTCTCAAAGTTCCATTGATTTTATGTTGCGAATCAGAACAGTTTTGGGTTGATTAATTTCAATGCAAAAGGTACTTTCTTCTGTAGGTACTACAGTTTTCAGAAGAAGACCCAATTGGACAAGCTCCAATTTTTACTAAATATGACTTATATTATGCAAGCCTTGAAAGTTATGTAAGATAGTGATGCTTCATTAAGTTTATTTCAGCGGGCATAGAGACAACCCTGCTATAAGCCCAATGATGATATTGTATTGTTCGATAAATTGAACCAAAACAGAGATTTTGTTGGAATTCAATCAATTTCTGATAACATGGTCCTTGGTTCACGGATGACAAAGAAAGTCGTTCTAGGTGGGTTTTCTGGTGAGGGACAATGGGGCTTTTGGCGGCAACGACAATTTTTCGGCCAAACACTCGTACAGAAATGATTTGGTTTGCCATTAAAGACCACGAACATGGAAGACGATTAAGGAGAAGAGAGAAAGAAGAGAAAGAAAAAGAAAGGAAAGAGTAAAGAATAAAAAATAAAAAAGATATTAAGAATAACTAATTAAGTCTAATTAGTTGACAACATCCAAACACAAAGATGACACGTGTATAGTTAAGTCAGTTTTTAACTTTTTTCTTTCTTTCCACGCGCATGTAAGAATCTGATAACACATTCTTTGCTAAGTCAGCTTTCAGGAAGGAAATAAATTCACTTCAAACTAGAATAGTGAGATTTTAGCTCACCCGTAAAGTTTAGGTGTATAAATGATTTTTTCGGACAAGTTTAATGGGCAATTTATGCCTTTTCTCTAAAAAGAATGATAAAGTAATCCATTGGTACAACAACAACAAACCCAGAGTAATTCCACAAGTGGGGTCTGGGAGGGTGGGGAAGGTAGTGTGTACGCAGCCTTACCCATATCCATTGATATGGTGGGAAAAACCCACTATACAAGTGGTATGAAAAATGTAACAAAGTGGTGAACCTACACATAAAACATGGTTCTCTACAATATGAAAGTAGAAACAAAAACAATAACTATAAAACTGGTCTAACCAAAACATGAATTAGTGCCTATACTCTCTGACATTCATAAACTGCATGTATTTCTCCCAGATTGCAGATGTCCAATGTGGCATGATGGCATATTCAAGGCACAATCTATCCATTTTCTCAGTGAAAACATCAATTTTTTTATAACCAGTAAGAAGATTAATTTAATTCATTTCATGGGACCCAGACGCTGCAACAAAAACACACAAAGGTCTGAAACTCTCTTAGCTAAATGAAAAGCACAATCTATAATCAATTGCTTTTCTAAGAAATAATTCTAAGTTACATTCAACACTCTTCGGGACAATTAAACAAAAGGGAAACCAAAAGAGTCCAAAAGATTTAAATTTCCACTGCACATCCCCTTATAGTCAAAAGAGATTAAACAACACAATCAGAATCCTACCTTCTCGGTGAAGAAATAACACATTGCGTTGATTCCATATTCCAGTTCATAGGCCAAGGAAACTTATTTATGTTAATGTTTCCATCACATCCCCCAATCAGCAATACTCTACTCCTCCCACCATCCCTTCCCACCACTAATACCTCACCTCCACCCCAACCCCGCCTCCACGACACCTATTCCACCACAATTTAATACTTTAGCAAATTGGTTTTTATATTGATTCATTTCAAACTTTCTTTTGATAATTGAGAAATTCTCGAGGTCAGTGGTGTACGGTTTGAAGCTAAGTGGATGATGGGCCCACCCCTCTACTCCCCCCCACTCAAATACCAAGCTTTTGTTTGGGGCACGGTTCGAACCTAAAGCTTCATTTGAACTTATTTTCATGTTAAAATGTTTAATTACATGAGAAAAGAGAAGCTACCGTTGAATTAGTGAAGAAAGCATATAGTTAAGAGCTCCTCATATAGGAATCTAGGGTACATGAAATAGAGGGAAGTATCATAATTACTAACAAGTATTTCTAACATTTTAGGTGTTGAACATAGGAAATGGTTCAACATAACCCTTTACAATTTGAATAGAGAAAAATAACCCTGCAAAGATCTCTTGCGTTTTATTTATAGACCTCATGCTTGTAAAACTAAATATCTCTCGGCAGATTTGACATAAAACTATAAAGAACACCAAACATAATACCTTCTAAAATAACCTGAAGAGCATATATTGAGAGCTTTCGGAGTATACCTGCCAACTAAGTAAGCTAACAAAAATAATGAAGAGATACATTGAAACTGTATTTTCTTGCAGATGAGAATATTGGCTTAAACGCAATATGCACTGCAATTTGACTATCTTAAATCAGCTTCATCTGCATCCCTGTCCTAAACTTCACCTCCTCTGCCAACTACTTTAACCACAAAAGCTAATATGAATTCAATGTATATCCTTATAATCAACCTCTACACTTGACTCAGTAACTATCTAAGGCCTCATTTGTTTTTTTTTTAAGATTAAGACGTCTGAATCTGAATACACAGCTGAATATCAAGATGTGTATTAAGATTAAGACATCTGAATCTGAATACACATCTTAGTTTGATTTTTAACATCTGAATGTATAAAATTTGTCTTTATTTGAAAATTAATAAACATAAAATTCAAATGAAATAACTAATCTAATATTTTATCAATAAAATATTTAAAAATATGATAGTTGTTGGTGGTGATGGCTAACGGGTGAATGTCGACTAGAGGCGGTGGTTGGTGGTAGCTTTGGTTGATGATGGTGGTTCATGCTAGTAGCTAGTAGTGATTGGTAGTGGTGGCGATTATGGTGGTGGTGGTGGTTGGTGATAGTTAATAATGGCGGGTGGTGATAGTAGTTGTGACTGAGGAAGGTGGAATGATGGTCAGTGTCGGCTGTGGTTGTTGATGGTGATGGGGTGGTCAGTTGTGGTAGTTGAGGTGGATGAGTGTTGATTGTGGGGAGAATGATGGTGGCCGGCGTAGTGGGTATAGTGGGTGGTGATGGTCGATAAGGGTGGCGGCTATGATTGAGGATGATGGTGGCGTAGTGGTGGTGGAGGTGGTGGTGGGGTGGTGGAGGTTGAGTATGGTGGTAATGGCTGCATGGCGGTAGTTGATAATGATAGGCGGTGGCGGCAGTTAATAATGAATATGTGATAGCATCTTAATGAAATTAAGTCTCTGTTATAAATCTTAATCATACAGACCTATTCAAACCCATTAAGTGGTTGTGAAGTAAAAAAGACAAACACATTTAATGATTAAGATCTAAATAATTAAGATTCAGACTTTAAAAACAAACGCACTTAATGTCTGAGATCTGAATGACTAAGATTCAGACCTCCATTAAGTGCAAACAAATGAGGCCTAAGTTGCTCAGATATGGGTGCCTGGCACGGGTGTGAATCTTGAGGACGGATCCTTCGAGATGAAAATTCTAAGATTTGGGGGTACAAATCCTAATACGGATACGGGTGCGGGGATCCGACTAAAAATAATTCACGAAAATAAAAATATAAAAATATCTCTAAATTATGAGAAATTTTGTAAATACTTACATATAGCTTGTAAAGTGTGGATTTCTTTTTGTTCTCAAGTTGTAGATAAGAAAATGATTGATTTCCTAGATAAGGTATGCTATTTTCTTCAAACTTACCCTAATTTTGGTTCTGATTTCGGGAATCAAATTGTATCTCGTCTCGCATTTTTCCGTCCGTCGTGGTCAAAATACCCAAATTGTTTGACTAGATCCGGTACGGATCCCATGCCCACACCTATACTAGTATCGTGTCGACACGAGTGCGGCACCTAAACTGCCGTGTCGGAGCAACTTAGGTAACTATACCATACTTTTTTTAGGAAAAAGTTATTTTTTGAGAGATTAGTAACTATATCATTCTTATTTTTTGAGAGATTGGTAACTCCCATTAAGACAGTTATTATTTTGATAAGGTAGGTTAAATCCCATTAAGACAGTTTTTTCCCCTTTTTCGATGCATACCTAAAAACATAATATCTGAAAGAAGATCTCCTGTTAGGTGAGCATCCATCAATAACCAATAATCTATGCAGGTTCAGGCTCAACTTCTCGTTTTAAGTTAGCATACCTACAGGTCAGTCCGGGGCTCTGTGATGCAATATTCCATATATAAGCAAGAAACTGAATCTTAGTATGTCCTCAATCTTCGTATACGAGTCCATGCACCACTAAAATGCACGTCCCAATAACTATTACGATGATCCTGTAGGAACTTACTATCCTTGCTAATATCATCGGGACATATGATGAGAGATAATTTGGCTTATTAACAAACCTCCTGCACCATCCAAGATCTGTTAAATGCTCCCTTATCCTAGAAATAACTTAGCATTAGGTTCCATAATCTCAATCTCCTCTAAAATATCGAGGGCATGCTTCATATGTCAGATAGCCACAATTAAGTTGGACAGTGATACTCTGTTCCATGAAAGTACTTAACACGATGTGAAACCTTATAGCAGAGTAGGTAAAAGATGTTTCTTCAGTGCATAAATGTCAGCATGATGACATGATTGTAACCAATAATAATAACAATTTCATTTACATAACCTATAATTCTATGGGATAAATACAAGATTACAAGTATACAACAACCCTACGCAAAGTGATGGTATGCCTGCATGATGATGCATCAATTTCATAAATGTCTGCATGACGACTAATCAGACACTGCTTGGAGATCAATCATGGGATGTTGAAAAACGAACCTCAATTTTGTCCATGGAGTGATTAATATCATGTTCATCAAACAACATATCTTCAACCGAGACTTTGCTCACTTTAACATAATCTGACAAAAGCCACTTGTATATAGCCTTTGTTGCACGAGTCATAAATACACGCCCTTTAAATGTAGTCTGAAAATAAACGGAGCTCATATGAATCAACAAAAGAAGTACTAAACAAAAGAAGTACTAAACAGTTGCAAGTACAAAGATTTTGAACCACTAAACAAACCTTTTCAAGAAAATAAGGAAGGGAGGCAGCATGATCTAAGTGAAAACTGCAAAGCATTAGAGCAAGTTAATGCAAGCATTTAGAGTAAGATAAAAAGGAAAAGGGACCAAAAAAATTCAGGTTAAAAAAGAAACAGCAAAGCAAATGGTCAACAGTTAATATGCATGTCAAAGGACTTGAACGCACTGCAGAGACAATTAGCGGGTGCACAAGTAATCTATAAAATGTTGTTCGCCTTTTTTACCCTTTCAAAAAAGAGTTCACACTAGACAAAATAGTCATTTAATTATTATCTATGTTGCTCCGACTCTTCGAAAATTTCACCGGATACGTGTCGGATCCTCCAAAAGTAGTGTATTTTTGGAGGATCCGACACAGGTGCGGAAGCATTTTGGAGAGTCCGCGCAACATATCCTAATATTTAAGATTTTGAGGGGAAAAAAGGACAACCCGATGCACTAAGCTCCCGCTATGCGGGGTCCGGGGAAGGGCAGGACCACAAGGGTCTATTGTACGCAGTCTTACCCTGCATTTTTGCAAGAGGCTATTTACACGGCTATATTTAAGATTTTGAAATTAACTAAAATTTTGACTTTCTAAACCTGTCCTTATTTGAACTAGGTAAGAACTTCTATTATTTAGACCTTTAAAATTATTAAGATTTTCCCTCTAATTAAATATTATCATCTTGAATTTACTTCTACTAAAATATAGGATGCATGATACGAACAATTCCATAAAGAAGAAAAAAAATGGAAAATAGTTATATCAATCTTATAAGAACAATGTACCGTAGATTTTATTCTATTCAAAGTCAAAAGTTACTCTGGCCAATTACTAACAACAAATAATTAATAATCATTTACAAAACTATTTTTCATGTTTCTTTTTCTTGGGTATAAGCATTAATAACATACAATTATAACTATATATTTAAAAATTACACTCAACAAAATCAACTAAGAAAAATTTTTAATAATATAAAAGAGAAATAAAGAGAAAGAAAATGATTGCAAAAGTTAATAGCGCTAATGTTTCAACAACACAAAGTGCAAAAACACGATTTTTTTAATCATTTGAGAAAAGAATTCTTTATTAAATATATATAACATTTAAAATTGAATTGAGCTAATTTTAAGAATTTGAATCAATAAAATATAGATTATTTTTTTGACATTGAAAATAATAATTAAGTATTTGAATTAACTAATTAGCAAAAGAATCCAATTCTATTATTTCCGAAATTATAAAAGTAAATCCATTTTTCACGTTCGACTCAAATCTTAGAGTCCATAAATTTGTTCCATATGAACAAATAGGTTATATATAATAAAGTATTAAAAGTTAACTTGGTTAAAATCTGCAAACTTGAAGAAATGAGGATGAAATAAGTAAAAGATAAAATGTATAAAACTAAAAGCTTACTACGTAGTTAATATTGCAACTTTTGAGGGAAAATAAATTGAGAATGCATAAGATTCAATTTTTCAATTTATGTTACTTGACAATTTTTAAGAATCGTAATAAAAGTATAGCAACCTATTTTTATCTTCTCGAATAAACTTTAAAATAGCCTTTTAAGAAAAATTTCATCACAACTCTTAAATATTCAAGGATTATGTCTTGCTAAAACTAAAAAAGAAGTATGATAAATAGTGAAATTAAACTAATAAAATTGTAAAACTAGAACAAAATTTCAGATAAATATATTAAATGATGATGGAGGACTTCTATGAGACATGGTTTTTTCTTTTATTACAATAACAACAACAACAACAGACCCGGTGTAATCCCACTAGTGGAGTCTGGGAGGGTAGAGCGTACGCAGACCTTACCCCTACCTTAAGAAGGTAGAGAGGCTACATAGGATTAATCAATTTCAGGAGCTTATGCTTTTATTTTATAGAATAATTCTTACGTGATTTTTTAAGAAAATTAATTCGTTGCGGTGGAGTACACGCACAACGCACGTACACTAAGACTAGTTCAGTGAAAATTAGAACCACATAGAATAGATAATAAGATGAACTAGATTAGTCCGCTCCCCTAATCCCAGTGGAGGCAAAATACTAGGTGATTTCTCACCATTTATCCAAGATTTGGGGAACAATGTTACCTAGTACCTATGCCGGAGAAAGGTAGCAGGGATTATCTCGTGGATTTAGTCAAGGTGCACACAAGCTCGCCTAGACATCGTGGTTATTAAAAATATTAAAAAATCAGCCAACTCGCTTCGCTCAACTAGTCAATCCTCCCACGGCTCCGTAAAACAATAAAAAACAATTCAATGCAGCAATCATTGAAATAATCAAAGCCACAACTTCCCAATTGGAAGGGTGGGTGACAATTAAAATGAATTGCTAGTAAAGCTTTTTTTCTCTGGACATTAGCCGCTTTGCTTCTAATAACTCGTCAATGGCTCTTTGAAGCATTGGTCCCCTATCTGGACCTATGTTGCGTGGACTCTCTAAAAGCGTTGCCACACCGTCGGATCCTCCAAAAATGCACTACTTTTGGAGGATCCGACGCGCACCCAGCACCATTTTTGCAGAGTCCGAGCAACATAGATCTGGACCATTCTATCAATAATAAGAAAAATAATTTCAAACAATGATGAGCTAGTCCATTGACGACTTCAAACCAATTGAAGTTTGTGCACTTCTGTGACGACCCAAAGGGTCATCACCTGTTTTCTTACTCATTTCGTGCTTCCGAGACCTTGAAAACCTCATTTTTAGTCGCCTCAATTTGCGTGCGCAGTCCGGGCGCGTAGCCGGAAAGCCTAAATGTGAAATTCTGTGAAAAATGCTAAAATTTGGTATTAAAATGAATAAGTTTGACTTTGGTCAACATTTTGGGTAAACGGACCCGGACCCGTGATTTGACGGTCCCGGAGGGTCCATAGAAAAATATGGGACTCGGGCGTATGCCCGGAATCGAATTCCGAGGATCCAAGCCCGAGAAATGAATTTTTGAGTAAAATTATTTTTCTGAAATTATTAAGGAAAATGGACTTGAAAATTGATTAGAACGTGTTGGTATCGGGCCCGTATTCTGGTTCCGGCGCCCGGTACAGGTCTTATATGTGGTTTAAGATGTTTCTGTGAGGTTTAGTTGAAATCGGACGTCGTTTGACGTGTTTCGGACTTAAAACTCTAAATTTGAAAGTTTATGAAGTTTGAAGAAAAACTAGTGATTTTGAGGTTTGATTCACCGTTTTTGATGTTATTTTGGCGATTTGATCGCACGGTTGAGTTCGTAGGATGTTGTTGAGTTAGCGTATGTGTTTGGTTAGGAGCCCCGAGGGCTCGGGAGTGTTTCGGAAGTGTTTCGGGATTGTTTAAACTTAGGAAAAATTGCAGAAAGTTCAGTTCTGGTGTTCTGGTATGTTGTTCTATGCGATCGCATAGTGTAAGTCTCAGGTGCCCCGCGATCGCAAGAATTCATCCGCGATCGCGTAGCTTAGCCCCATTCCTTCAATGTGATCGCATTCTCCTCTCCGCGATGTATAAAGCCAGCTTTCATTATTTTCCTTCTATGCGATCGCGTGTTATTGTCCGCGATCGCGGTGCTCAGAAATTCTACTCTATGCGATCGCAACCTCATGTACGCGATCGCAGTGCACAGCAGGCCTTACCCTATGCGATCGCAATCTCCTTCCCGCGATCGCGATGAACAAATTCGCCCAATTATTTTAGTTCTTCAAAACAGGATGCAAACAGGATTAACATAACACTTCACGAACTCCTTCTTCTGCAAGGTTCTAGGGCGACTTTTAGAGCATTTCTTCGTCAAAGCTTCTTGGGATAGTAAATCTTAACTCGTTTTCTTCACTTTCCATCAATATTTGTTGAATTCCTAAACCTAAAACATGTAATTTAGGGTAGAAATTGGGGGAAATGGGTAGAGTTAGGGCTTTTTACTTTTTATTGATTTAGACCTCGTTTTGGGGTCGAATTTGAGAACAAATTATATATTCGGGCTCGTGGGTGAATGGGGAATTTGATTTTGGCCTGAACCTCGTGTTTTGACCAAGCAGGCCCGGGGGCGATTTTGGGATTTTGGAAAGAAAGCTTGAAAATCTATAATTAGGCATTGGGTTTGATTTGTTTAGCATGTATTGATATTATGAAGTCATTATTGTATAGATTTGATTGAGTTGGAGCCGAATTCGAAAGGGAAAGCGGTTGTTGTGGATTGATTTGGCCGTGGAAGTCGAGGTAAGTGTTTGGTCTAACCTTAGCTTGAGAGAATAGGAGTTGAGTCTTATTTGCTACTTGCTAATTGTCGAGTACGATGTATAGGCATGGTGACGAGTATCCATACATTGGTGTCTAGCATGACCGTGCGTCCTATATTGTGATTTCCATGACTTCATTGTATTATTCATGCCTTGGTGATTATTTTTATTTGTTGTGCAAAGATGTGGAAAGAATCATGACTTATGGATATTGAGGAGCGTTGGCTCCAGTTGTATAGCGAATTGCGAAAGTATAAGTGATAATTGAACCTCTAGAGCATTGGCTCGAGTTGTGAAGTGAATTGTGAAGTAAAAGTGAGGAGAGAAAAGATCATTATGCTGTCCCTTGGCGGGCTATTGTCGAATTGTGGTTCCCTTGTATTGTGTTCTTAATTGATATTACGGATACTTAGTTTAATGATTCCTTGTGTTGAGTAAGGACTAAAGTTATAGCTGCGGTAGTTAAGTGTTGTAATAGGTTTGGTTATAGCTGAGGTGTTTAGGTGTAGTAACAAGTTTGATAATAGTTGTCGTAGTTAGATGCTAATAGTTGTGGTAGTTAGATGTTGTAACAGGATTGATCATAGTTGTGGTAGTTAGATGTTGTAACAGGATTGATTATAGTTGTGGCAGTTAGATGTTGTAACAGGATCGGTTATAGCTGCGGTAGTTAGATGTTGGGACAAGTGTGGTTATAGATGTTTCTCCCTTGCCGGGACGTAATTACTCATGCTATCGAATCCCTTGTCGGGATAGTGTGGACCTTATCGATCTCTAGTCGGGACTCCTATTATAATTGTAAATATTATATATATGGATCGGGTTGCACGCCGCAACAATATTATATAAGGATCGGGCTGCACTTCGCAACAATATTGTATATGGATCGGGTTGCACGTCGCAACCATATTAAATATGGACCGGGTTGCACGCCGCAACAATATTAAATATGGATCGGGTTGCACGCCGCAACAATATTATATATGGATCGGGTTGCACGCCGCAATAGAGATATAATGATATGGGAGCGGGTGGTACGCCTACCACGAGATATAATGATATGGGAGCGGGTGGTACGCCTACCACGAGATATAATGAAATGGGAGCGGGTGGTCCGCCTACCACGAGATACATGAAATGGGATCGGGTTGCACGCCTGCAGCGAGATATGTACTGACAGTGAAACTTGCTTTTATTTCCCTTATCCGTGTTAGAGTTAAATTATTGATGTTCTTTATTATTCTCTTGATATCCTGTTTTTACCTATTATTCCCCAAAGCATGTTTCCCCCTCCCATCCTTACTTGTTTATACCTGCTTTACTTTCCGCTGTATTTTATATAACTGCACAGGTTTATTTGATAGTCTGGTCCTAGCCTCGTCACTACTTCGCCGAGGTTAGGCTAGACACTTACCAGCACGTGGGGTCGGTTGTGCTGATACTACACTCTGTGCTCTTTTGCACAGATCCAGGTATTGGACAGTATCAGTAGTTGGAGGGCTTCCTTCAGTCTCCCCGGAGACCCAAGGTAGACCTGCAGGCGTTCGCGGGCCCTGGCGTCTCCCTCTATCTTTATTCCCCGTTTCATTTTCTTTGTTTCAGAAACAACTTATTGTATTTTCCTTCGAACTTTGTTTGTAGTGACTCTTAGACAGTCTGTGACACTGTGACACCAGATCTTGGGTAGAGGCTTATGTTGGATTTCCGCATTTTCTATTCAGTTTCTTTAATTTAAGACTTCCGCTTTATTATTAAATTCCAATGTTGCATGCGATTGCTGATATTTGCTAAAAGAGGTAATTAAGGTTTGGCTTGCCTAGCTCTCACTAGTAGGCGTCATCACGACTCCCAAGGGTGGAAATTCCGGGTCGTGACAACTTCCAAACATGTGAGAGTATAATCACAAAGTGGGAATTTCTTTTTCAGCTGATAAGTATGTAATCACGATAATAAAAAATATGAAAGTCAGCGCAGAGAACGATATAAAAAATTATCTCCTTTGTCCCATATTATGTTTGAACCTTAAATGAGCAGAACAATAAAGAATTGAAAATTAGCACCTTTGGTCCTTATGTTATCACTTAATTCCAATTTTAGTCCTTGTGATATTAGATGAAGCACATTTAACCTTTAATTAAACAATATGAATGTTTTTGTTCCCTTCACCAAAGGAACTTTAAAAAACAACTGAAAATAGCTACTAAGAGGCGCAATTTGGATATTATAGGTACAATTTTCAGCAACAAAACCTCACAAAAGAATAACCTAATTCTAACATTTTAATTTGCATTATCTCCCAGCAAAGAAACCCTTTCCCTCCCATCTTCCGTTTGGATTCAACGAAAGATTAGGTTTTTTAGTTGGTTAATGGCAGTGCCTTTTTTCCTGACTCCTCTTGTACAAGAAGATCCGTGAAAAGCTCTACCAAGAACATAGAATCACCCAAACATAAGAGCCCATAATATTAATTCTACTTAGTTGTGCATCTTCTTTCGTCTTTATAATTTGTTTTTCTTTCTTAATGGGCGTTTGGACATAAGAATTGTAAAATTCCAAAACATGGTGAAAAAAAAATTCAAGTGAAAATGGTATTTGAAATTTAGAGTTGTGTTTGGACATGAAAATAATTTTGGATTGTTTTTGAAGTTCTGTGAGTGAAAATTTTGAAAAGCAGCTTTTTGGAGTTTTTCAAATTTTCGAAAATTTCCAAAATGCATCTTCAGGTGAAAATTAGAAATTTTATGAACAAACGCTAATTTCGAAAAAAAGTAAAAATATTTTGGAAAAAAAAGGAAAAATTTCTTATGTCCAAACGGGCTCTTAACCACTCTTCTTCTGGAGCCTTTAGCAACATGAACTTGATAAAGAATCAAACCAATATACAGTCAAATAGGCTCCACCATGAATTTAGCTCAGATGAGCTTTGCATCCGTTTAAGCAATAGAACACTTTGGGAGAAAAAGTACTGTACTGCAATACCTATTCAATTTATTGCCACTTAATATCAATATGACTAACCCACTACTAACCTAAATGGAGGCATGGAATAAAAACTTAAAATAAATAAAAAAATTAAATGTCTGAATTCCCCTTCTTAATATTTAGCTGTCAGTTTGTTTTTAAATTCCATTAGTGAAGGGACCAAAAAACCTCACATTATTTAATTAAAGGTTAAATGTGCTTCGTTTAATATCACAGGGACTAAAACTGAAATTAAGTAATAACACAAGGACCAAAAGTGCTGTTTTCCATAAAGAATTAACACTCAACATTCAAAATCATCCACCAAGAGAAAAACAATAAACAAAAGAAAAAAGTTTAAGAAGCCAGTCATGGAATAAAGCTGGAAAAAGAAAATAGAAAGAAAAAAAATGCAAAAGACTCTATATTCCCTATCTTGTATTCTCTATCCCCTAAATTAGCCTAATTAGATTCAATTTACTTTTTGTGGATTTCTTGACTTTTCGCCAAGAGGGGTTTTTGGTACTAACTAAATTCACTAAGTATCTAAATTCTTAATCAATGAGTTAGGCCAAAATATCAAAAAAAAAAAACTTGTGCTGAGGTGCTGTATTGAGACACAACCTTTCAAACAATAAAACGAACATTATAGAACTAAGGCCAGAAAACTTACTGGGTAATTAGAAGAACATCAATAGTTGAAGGATCAATTTCATCAAAATACGGCAAAGCAGCCATGCCTGAGTAAGCTGGATGAATGCCACAGTCAAACTGCCAAAAAAATCAAATGTAATTAATCGATTTCAGAACTTGTGGCCCAAAAGGAAAAATTGAAGAAGAATGACAAAGATGTGTAGCCTACCAAGACTGTTTTTCCTTTGAAAGACATGTAAACACAGGACCGTCCAACTTCACTCCCAGCCCCTAAAGGAGTGATAATGAGTTTATCTCCTTCTCTGTTAACTGCAGGACTAGGTCTCTTCAAAGTTGAATGTGGTTGTCCAGTAGACGCCATTCTACATCCAAAGAACATATAAAGTCAAATTATGAAAACACTAATCTTCATGCAAGAGTTAAATAATAAGGAAGAAATACAAAATTTAACTGGTCAAACAATCATTCAGCTTCATTATGACCAAAACCATAAAAGTCAACAGAATTCATCTAGTACGCGTCAATCCTAAATTAGTTGACAGCTATAGGAGTCCTCGGATATCCATTTATGCTCTATTCAACATAGTTTGAGGAATTCTAAGCTGACTGCCAAGTGCCAACCTACTGCAAAACCTACTTAGGGTCCATTTATCATACTGTGTGGTTCAGGAAAAGAAAAGATCAATTAAAATAGGCGCTGATAGAATACTACTCAGTAAAATTGAAAACGAAACCCTGAACAAACACAACCACGAAAAACGCAACGTTCTTGGGGTAGTTTTTACCAATGTCAGCAACAAAAAAAAATTGGCAAACGAGAAGAATGCTGAATCATACAAAAACATTAATATTAGGTGCAAAAAAAAAAAATTAAACTCCAATAAGAACAAAGATTCAAGAGAGAATAAGAGTTAGGAACCTGAACCCTAAGTCTGAGCTGAAGACTGAAGATGCTTACAAGGTCTATTCGAGTATCAATAACTTCCGGATGGAGATATGCTCGGAGACCGGTGAAGTCAGCTCGGAGATTCGTCGGATTTTCACCGGAACGCCGGCCGAGGTAGAGAGTGAGAGGAAGTGCTGTTTTGCAATAAACGTTAGAATTGAAATTGTGCTTACAAGCTATTTTTTAACTTTTTCACCTTGAGTGTGTTTGGAAAAGATACGCTAAAATGCTTCGTATTAAAACCCTAATTTTATATTTAGAGGTGCTTCTAATACACACTCCTAATTATTAAAAAACATGGCATGTAATATTACATGTGACTATTTAGCTCAGTATAAAACCTGCCTAAACTATTAATTTTTTTGTCAGTTACCTACTACCTACTTAAACTATCCGATGTCCCCAAAATTCCGTGAACAATATTCCCCTATATATTAAAATCCATGCTGGACTTTTAAATGTGCGTCTGTCTAACTATATTAACTTATGGTTTGTACAAAGTTTTTCTGTGTAGTTTACTCATGATGTATTACTCTCGAATGATTGATTAATTTTAGGAGTTTGGCCAAAATAATATCTAATGTACTATGTTAATTTTAGATTTAATTGTGATTGTATTTTATGCTAGACTCCAATTGAATAAGTCCATATTTATATTCACTTTGTAGCACAACAAAAATATATATAAAGGCATATAGTGTTACATTTCTTAAAAATTATCTTATATTACATAAAAGTCATTACACAAATAAAATTTCGCAAATAAAAAATCAATTGGCCAGCAATTACATTTTCTAATTACTGATTATATAAAGAAGGTTCAAGAGCTTCAACTTTATTCTCTACAAGGTGTTGAGTTTAACAAGAAGATTTGAATTGGTATTCTTTCAACAATATGTATTGTCACACCTCTTTTTTCCCGAGGAGAGAGGAAAGAAAGGAGTTTTTCCAATTTAAGTGACATTATTTGAAAAGGGATTAATTCATTTGTATTTAAGAGTCGCCACTTGGAATAAATATTTACCGTGTCCCAAGTCACCATTTTAAAATCCCAATTCAAGGAAATTGACTCTGATTAAGTCTGCGAAACACAGAAGACCGGGTAAGGAATTCTGTTAACCCGGGAGAAGGTGTGAGGCACTCCCGAGTTTCGTGGTTCTAGCACGGTCACTTTAATAATTATACTTGGCTTGACTAATTCTGGATATTTTATGTTCTAGAGAAATTTATTCACTTTTGCCTCAAACCGCTTTTAATTGTTTGATTATTTGTAATTATAGAATTATCTTGAAACGAATCACGCGTACGTGTATTCGTTTTGTTTGGTATGTCAGGAATCATGTCACGCGTACGTGTACACAATTAATAACACTTTATTATTAAGATTGTTTAAAGCTGCGCAAATGCATACTTTGCCACTTTGCCTTTACTTTGGGAAATCATAACTATGTCACGCGAACGTGTACATAGTCATGATAACTTATTGGTTAACATGCGCCTACAGCATACTAGCTTATTCGGAGTATTCCGTTTATTTATCTTTTTTTTTTATCCGAGACATCTATTTTTATATTATTATTTTTTACTTATTTCTACAAGTCTTAAATTAGCTCGTGAACCATCTTATTCCTTAGTAATTATTTTGTTCTTACCACTCTAATTATTTTACTTCTTGCAACGGGCTTACCAAACAAGCTATAATATTTAAACAATTAAAAATTCCTCTAACATTAATCTGTCATAAAGGAAAACAGTGGATAACCAATATGAAGTAATTAAATATGACATGCAATCATTCTTTTACAAAGGCACACGTCAATATAAGCAACTACCAAATTTACATATCAACATTATGGAAAAGATAGAATTTAAAACTTACATTCCTCAAAAAAATAAAATAATTAATTATTATTTATCTAGAATAGACGCCTAAATACAATCTGTGACTAAAACAAATAGACTTGCACTAAAGAATATATTCAGTTCGTCAAAAATTAAATATAAAAATCTTTTAACTCAATACTTTAATTCAATAAATCTATTTGACAATAAGTATATACCGATAAAAAAAACTAATTCCAAAAATCTAAACTTGCTTGAAAAAAAATAAAGTCCAATACCAATTCACTGCCTTGTTAAAATGATTTGACCAATCTATTAAAATTGATTAATATCACCACCCCAAATTGAATTTATGAATTCAAAACAAGACCGAGCTTTATGTCATCTCCAACCTTATCCTCATTTCCCGTAATGGGGGCATTTTTGAGGTAATTTAGCTCCAACCTTCCCCTATTTGTGTCCCCAAAATGGGGGATGAATAGTGTTCCCTCAAATATGGGGGTACACTATTCATCTCCCCCGTTACTATTCATTACTTTTTTATTATTATTTTATTATTTAATCTTTTAACTTATCTCTTTATATCTACTTAATTATGTTTATGTAATGTCTTTATAATATTAATTTTACATCTCAACTTTGATGTATAATTTTGATAAATTAATTTTCGTGCATTTATTATTTTTATGTAAAATTGTAAGTTAATTTTATTATAAGTTATAATTGTACAAAAAATATATAATTATCTCAAAAAATGAATGGTGCAAATATAAAATATTAGATGTTGCTAAAATTAAAAGGTGCGAATATAAAATATTAGATGTTGCTAAAATTGAAAAGTGAAGATTGAAAATACATTAAATGAATTTGATCGTTATGTAATATGTATTTAATTAATCTTGTATTGCAATGATTTCACTTTAATTTGAATTATTAGTTACTATATAATAATTGCTTACAAATTATATTATTTAAAATTTTATGGAATTGTTTTAATAGAAATTACAAATTAATAAAAATAAAAGATGGAATTTGTTTAATGGAAATTAAAAAATGAAATTGAAATGAAAGATAATAATATAATATAGAAGAGAGAGAAGAATATAAAAAAGTTCGGAAAAAAAAAAATGGGGGAATGGTTGGAGTAAGTTGTCCCCAAAATGAGGAAATTCCCATTTTGGAGACCAAAAATGGGGTAAAGGTTGGAGATACCCTTGCAAGCTATATAGACTTAACTAATAAAGAATAACATGCTAACTCTCATTATATCTTGGCTCCAAATTCATGAATTAATATAAAAGTGTTTCTAGTATATTAAATATTACATACAAAGAGGAATAACAAACTTTAACCAACTTTTTTCTATCTTACAACCGAACAAGAAAAAGAGCACAAATATATATATTATTCTAACAAAATTCACAAAAAACGAATTAAAAATAAAATTCGAACTTTGAGAAGATATGGATCTCATATATCATGTTTAAACTATACAGAAAGATTGAGTGTTACCTTTTATAGGATTTCACAATAAAGAGAATATCTACAATCTATTAATTTCCAAAGCTAGCAATGCTAACTTTTCTAGAATCTTGAATTTGGAACCGCGAACAAAATTCCGAACTCCCTCTTTAAATTCTCTCTCTTTCTTACCTGTACAATTTTTCTACTTCTTTTTTCGTTTCTGCCTTCCCTTCTTTTTTTTTCGTTCTTTCTTTTGTTTATTAATCCCGTTCTCTCTTCTAAATCCAAGACATTCGTCTCTTTTTCTTTGTTATCTCTTTTTTCTCCTTTTCCTTCTGACTTCTTCTAGCTTCTTTTCCTTTTGTCCTTTTTTCTTCTTTTATCTTTTTCTCTGTTGCATCCGTCAGATTTTTTTCCCCTTGAATTTGCTTTCTTTTCTTTTATTTATAGATTCATGTGTTTTTAACTAGGTAATGGGTAGTTGAATACGCAATTATGGAGATCATGTGATGTGTGTATATGACGTGAGGGAGTGGGGGTGAGGCATGAATGAAGTGGGGAAGTGAAGAAGTTGACATACATACATACATACATACATACATATATATATAAAATTCTAAAGTAAAAATCAGATTTTTTTAAAATAAAGTTTGATAACAAACTTTATTCACTTTAACACGATTTTACTTCATTTCAATTTTTTTTTAATTTTAAAAGATGATTGTGACGACCCAAAGGGGTCATCACCTGCTTTCTTATTCATTCCGTGCTTCCGAGGCCTCGAAAACCTCATTTAGGTTTGCCTCGATTTACGTGCGCAATCCGGGCGCATAACCGGAAAGCTTAAATATGAATTATGCGCGAAAAATGCTAAATTTTGATATTAATATGAATATATTTGACTTCGGTCAACATTTTTGGTAAACGGACCCGGACCCGTGATTTGACGGCCCCGGAGGGTCCGTAGAAAAATATGGGACTCGGGCATATGCCCGGAGTCGAATTCCGAAGTCTAGAGCCCGAGAAATGAATTTTTCTGTGAAATTATTTTTCTGAAATTATTAAGAAAATTGGAAATGAAAATTGATTAAGAGAATGTGGTATCAGGCTCGTATTTTGGTTCTGACGCCCGGTACAAGTCTTATATATAGTTTAAGCGCTCTCTGTAAAATTTGGTTGAAAACGGGCGTCGTTTGACGCGTTTCGGATTTGAAATGGAAATTTGATGCTTTATGAAAATTTCAAAGAAAAGCATAAGTTTGAGGCTTGATTCGATGCATATGATGTTATTTTGGCGATTTGCACGGATAAGTCCGTAGGATGTTTTTGAGGTTGTGTGCATAATTGGTTTGGAGCCCGAGGGCTCGGGTGAGTTTTGGATAGGTGTTGGATTGCATTTCTCATTTTTTGAAAATCTGGTATTTCTCAGTCCTGGTGTTTTCGCATTTGCGAAGAAATACTCGCAAATGCGAGTTCGCAAATGCGACTCCCTGACCGCAACTGCGAGGAAAGGGGGTTGCTGTATGGGATCGCAAATGCGAAGGATATCTTCGCAAATGCAAAGGGCCAGGGATCGCAAATGCGTGGCCCTTTTCGCAAATGCGAAAGTCCCCCCTCATGGCCTGGCTTCGCAAATGCAAAGTTGTGCTCGCAATTCTCAAAACTGGGCAGTCGCAAATGCGACTTGCGTGGTCGCAAATGCGAACCCTGTATAGTTGGAGGGAGTTCGCAAATGCGAACTAAGGTTCGCAATTCCCAGGTTAGCAGGCCGGGGTTCGCAACGAACCCCAATTCGCAATTCCCATATCCGAGGCCCAGCAAATTTTATACTTAGCCGAATTTTCATCACTTTTCACCATTCTTTCAAAACCCAAACACCATAGGCGATTTTTCAAGAACAATCTTC